AGCCAGCATTCCCATATCCTGTGTAAAATTGGTCAGATCTCTCAAAAGTAGTTGCATAACTCAAAATGAAAACCATTATCTCAAGTTAATGACATGGGATGAAAAGAAACAATATGCCGTTTCTAAGGTCATTCTGGGACAACTGGTTAATTCAGATCTAAGTTCTATATTGCTATCCACAGAGCCATTGCCCAAAAGCAAATTTAAAAAAAATATAACAAAGAGGTATATAGGATAGAAGCCTGTTCATTTCATTCTGAACCAAAAAGCAGCCATCTGTTGAATAGGATTCTCAATCTGTTTAATGGTCACAGAAGCGCTACATAATAAGTTAAGATGGGACATTGGCAAAAAATATTGCCTCTAATGAAAATACAGATAGTCGCAAGGCAGCAAAGGTCCATATGGCCCCCAAATACTTATGCACACTGTACAAAGCCTTGTTAAAAATGATATTAAAAACTAACTGATGTATTACGGCAAGAGATGTCAGAGGAATCCATTGAAAGCGGACTATCAATATTATTTCCTTCTGTCATGGCAGCCCCTCATAGCAACAACTGCTGTGAACCCCAACAAGTACTTAAGGTGGAGCAAGGCAGATACACTAAAAAAAAAATTTGAACTAAGTGCAACACAAGAGTGGACAAAGAAACACAGGTTGCAGCTAGGAGTGGCTAGGAGGTAGGTAGAGTCATAGATCTAAAAAAAAAAGTATAGACTCACGCACACTGGCCAGCTTCTGTTTTGACTTGAAATGTTCTCAGAACATTGGGCTTCTCCGAAGTACATAAAGGCAGGAAGCGGGCAAGGGGACTGCCAGTCCGCAATAGTGTCCACTATTCCAGCATGCTCTGCTGGAAAAAAACCACCACCAAAACTGAGCCAGCTCATTAGTCTATTTAGTTCAATATTATTTACAGGGGAGTCTTTCAGATTGAACTGAGACCTTTTCCTTGCAATTTTGTCCTCAAACCACCAAACTGCCATTTCTCCCAATAAGCTCTGCAGAGCCTAATTTTGGTCCATGTATGGGCAATCTATCCAGAAGATAAATTGTATTTCGAGGAGTTAGTGACCTGACATGGTTACCCTCTCTGACTCTGTTCCTTAAGTTCTTTGATGGCATGAAGAACAGCCTTTAATGCCCTAATCAGTTGGAAGGAAGTGATAGTGCTAGGTACCTTCTTTGATGTTGGACATTGTTTTGAGAAAGTGAGGCACTGGGAAGGGGTGGCTAATGAATGATCTGCATGTAGCCAGTCGGGCAAGCCACACAGGCTAGCTATCTATAAATCGGATGGTTTTGGGCAGAGTTTTTGAGAAGATCATGCACAGACTGATCTGGCCGCAGGGCCATGCAAACTGAGGCTACCTGGGGAGTCACTTTGCCGCTTCTTGAGGGCTTCCAAGTGGCAGACTGAAGTGCTTGCTTGGTATGTATATATTGCTTGCTGTTTAGAATAAAATCTTTAATCTTCTCACTCACTTGTGTTTTGTATTACTTCTGAATCTCATTTTAAAAGAACCACCTTGCATTTGGCAAGACAGCCCAGCATTCGGTATTGGCTACTCTGCAGAACTCATGCAGAAGCTTTCTAACCTCACCGCCAGGTATCCTTTCCGACTGAACCTGTGACTTTCTGCATGCAAAATGCATATTTCTCTCCCTGAGCTCTGGCTATCTCCAAGTGTTGGTCTTCACTGAAATACGAGGAAGAAAAGGGAGATGCATAAACTTAATTTAGCATAGGAAGTTTCATATGCTAAGTGCCAGGTATATTGTACCAAAATAGCACCCTAAGTGCACCTCATCAAGGAATTTGTCATGGTAATTCAACGCAGGGGAGAGGCAGGATCAATCTGTCAAGAGCATTTTATTTCAGCAAGGAGCATCAGCTATGTCTGCTTAAATCACTCTGTCCTCACTTCACCTTTAATACAAGGTATAAGTATTATTTTAGAGCTGAGTAAAAATGGGAAGGGGGTCAATTTTTGTGCCCCTGCAAAGCACCCCATCAGTGTTTCGGGAGTACATGAATGGCTGTGATATTGTTCAAAGTGAGGAAAATGTGTTAGTCCCTTGCGGTGGCAACCTGACCAGAGCTCCCTGTCTTGTTATATTGTGCTGGTGGGCAATGAAGCCCCAGCATAGCAAGGCAAGACAGACACCCCAGTCCAACAAAAGAGACTGATGTGTGGAATCAGGTCTTCATGTGCCAGTCATTCACTGGATTAGGAAACATGTCTTAAATCAGAATTCTGATGGGAGAGAGGGAAGGGCAATGTGTTATTTTAGCTTTGAAGGTTAACTGAAGAAACAGAGCCTGGTATATTCTGTCAAATTTAATACATAAACTTAAGTCAGGAGCACATAAATTATGAACTATGTTTGCGTCCAAAAGAGACAGTGGTAATATAAAAGAGATATGGCTTGAGTGAGACATGAAAGGAATAAGACTAACTTGCTGGAGAAAAAGCTACACACACAAAAATAATAATAACGAAAGGCTGCATGATGGAACATTTCTTGCTCTGCAAGTGAAGGAAAGAGAAAGAGGAAAGGGTAGCAAAATAAATAGGACAAGAATTCGAAAACGACTGCGGCAAAAATTAAACGAAGATCTCACAAAAAAGTTGCTATCACCAAGGAGATGTGTAAATATAGTACCCAAGTTTACCAGCAATGGAACAAGAGGCAGACAGTTTGACATGTCAGGTCCTCCATCATGGAGATCACCAGAAACTGCCTCCCTGTTGTGGGGTGGGACCGTTTGGATGGCCACAATGCCCCATTGGTTGCCCCTTTGTTGGCTATTGGCTGCTGAGGGGCTACTTAAGCTGCTGCACGTCTCTGGAGAGTTTCACTTTCTTGAGACGTGCAGCGGATCACCCACCCTTCTCTCCCTATATTTAGGGTTGTTCTCATGGCCTTGCTATGCCTGTTTAGGGGTCGTCTGTTTTGGAGCAGGGGCCTGGTAGGAATTTTGCCATTTGGCTGATTGGCTGGTGCCACTTGGTTTTTGCCTACCATGTAGCAAATCGTCACAACTTTGTAAGGTTGGTGGTTAGACATGTGGTTCAATGTTTTGGGGAGGGAAGTGGTTGGCTATGCCTGCCCCTCCATTGCTGCTGCTAGGGAATTCCATTAAAGGAATCCAGGGGCTCGCCTTGCTTTTGTCTGAACCCTGTCAAGGGGCTAGGGCCATGCCAGAGCCCCTGGGAGCATCTGAGGTGAGCTGTGAGAGCGAAGGAGTTCTTGCTCCCCCAGGATGCTTTCCCTTACTGACATATGGTGGTGCCCAGTGTCAGTCCTGTTGCTGCCACCATGCAGGTTCAGGAAGTCTGGAACCAATGCCTAAGCAACCACTCCCATGCTGTAATCAATAAAGTTGTGGCCAAAATTTAATGCCAAAAACCTTAAACTAAAATCTATTGTGTCTTCATTTGGTGGTGGTTTTGGAGGTCTTCACACACAACTAACTCAAGAAAACAATTTTTGAATAGATATTAGAATTGTAGCATTAGGCAATTGAACAGGTTAGGAAAGTTTAATAATCACATTTATGAGAGGTATCTATGAAAAGTTTGTGAAATGATTTGTAGACAATGCTTAGAGCAGTAAATTGTGTCTACAAGGAACCAAGCCACATGATCTATAATGCCTCTCTCAGCTCCTAAAGGTATGATCAAGTCCCATTGATTTGGCTAGGAAAATTAAGCACGTATCTAATATCAACTGCTGAAATCAATGGGACTTTGTCTGGATTATGAGTCTAAAAAGGGACCAGAGTGGTTCTGAAATAAATATTGCCTATCCTAGTTTTGCAATGTATTTCTTTTTCTTGGAGGAGAAGGTAGACCAAACTCTTATTAGATGCTTGCTGCACATACTAGATTCATCCTTGTAAAGTACATATTCATAACTGCTTACTCAGAAATCTCACTGTGTTCACTGATGATGAGTTTCAAGTAAGCATGCACAGGACTGCAGCCTTATGAGTGTAATATTCTGTATGCCTACTCAGAAGTAAATTCCATCTAGTGCACTTGGGCTTTCTCCAAAGAATGTGTGCACTGGATTGCAGCTTTCATCTGCCAATTTGTTCCACCTTTAATATACCCTCTTTAAAAAACAAAACAAAAAACTAAAGCCATGTTATTAATTGAAATAGTAATATGGTTTCACTTTCAACTTGACAGAATTTAGCATAACTTGAAATAATACAATTCTAATGTTCAAGAATGGCAGTGAACAAAAATTACTTGCCACATAGATCTTGATGACTTTCATGAAGGTCAGATATGACAGAGGTTTTACTCAAATTTATTAGTAGTTAATTGAAAGAATGAGCTACAGACATCAATCTGAATGTTGAATTGTTTGACTCTTCTAAATTTTAAGAGATAATGAACCAAGATTCCACTTTGCCAGTTTTCTGTCTCATTAAATTGCTGCAAGGCTTCCTGTGCCAGGTAATTCAGTCCTTCATCAAGGCAACTCCAAGCATCTTCTATAGCCAGGTCATGGCACAAAAGATTTTTTTCCTCAGAAAGAGACTAATAAAGTAGAGATAGACTCACTGAGGGAAGAGGGCCCGTTGCCCAAGTGCCCTCCAATACCTGGAGCTGACACTGTCAGAAGCCACTGACGAAGCTCTCCATGCTTCTCTGTTGGTATCACTGAAAAAACGATTTGAACATCAGGATTTGCCCTTCAGGTGAGCCAGCAAAATATGTTCTTCTCAAAGTCAAAAGATTGTCACCATTCTCCCACTCGTGCATTGGAAATGTGGTACATTCCCCTCTCTTCACATGGGACACAGCACAGCCACCTCCTTTCTGAGACATTGGAGTCAGGAACTTTGTTCACCCTCTCACCAGCTGAAAGAAAAGAAATAAAAGACAGGGCATGAAGAGTAGCACTATCCTTGTCTTCTCTGGAAGTGAGAGGCTTGGGCCTACCTCGTGTTCCTCCCAACTACAGTAATATACAGGTAGCCCTGAGGTTCAGTTGGTAGAGCATGAGATTTTTAATCTCAGGGTAATGGGTTCAAGCTCCACATTGGGCAAAAGATTCCTGCATTGCAGGGGGCTGGACTAGATGATACTCGTGGTCCCTTCCCACTCTAGGATTCAAATTCACATCTTACACTTATTTAGCATACGTGATCGCAGCTTTACACGTGTTACTGATAAATAATTATTTATGAAATGGCACAAAAATGGTGCGCAGTGTGAGGTGGGTATAAGAAAATTGCATGTGGGTGAGGGGGAAGGGGGCAGGAGAGCAGAAAAATGCAGACAGCAATCTCAGAGTGTTTGGCTGCAGAAGAGGCGGTTGGAGAAGGTGATCAGAGGAGCCCAGTTAAGAAGGTGGTGATGACTTTGTTTACCTCTTCCAGGAAGACGTGGAATAGCTAACTGAGGGTCAGCAGGTACTGACTGTTCAAGAACTGGTCAAGAACTGGTCAGATCAGGTTCAGAATGTGAGGATGAGTCAGCAATCTGGCACCTCCAGAAATTTTCTCAACTCTTCCAAGTCATAAAGCACACAAATGATCTGATTGCTCCAGCTTGTGGATGTAAGGAGTGTGTTGGAGATGATCTCATTACAAGGAAATTGATGCAAATTATAGAGATACTGTACCTCGTTTAAAACTTTCATGTTTTACAATTCCCACAAATATTCTGAAGACAGGATTTAAAAGGGGTATTTTCCAATTAACCAGTGAAATTTCAGAAGTGGTGGCTTTAGAGAATGCACTGATTTTTTTCCTATCATCCACTTGAACTACTTGCTTCGGCAAGTTGATGCCATCTAATTCCCTTGCACTTAAATCCACAGAACTGTAACACACCTATAATGCTCCAGTCTTCAGAGACGACCCAAGGTCAAGGACTGCCTGATTCAACACTTAATGCCTACAATCATTCCTAGCTCCTTGTGCAACTCTCTCCATTTTACTAAAGAAAATAATTTCATTAGCGGGAGATGGGTGTAGGTTTCCCCCCCTCCTTGCAGGTAAGATTCCCAGAACTGCATAAGGGGGGAGAGTATTGAAAGATCTCATTAAGTTCTCCTCCTTACTGCTAACCTAGATAATATGCTCAAAAAAAGGAGAAAGGCAGTATGCTCATCTTCAGAACTGCTACCCTGTGTGGGTGCAGACAAGTAAAATATGCCCAATCTTTGGGCATTCTTACAGAGCAGCTCCAACTTGGCCCATTGCCCAGTTGATTTTGTGCTGTCTCACTTCAGAGTTATAGCAAGCAATAGCCCCACAATTACAAACTTTAAACATGCTTATGGAACCCATAGGTTGTATTTATTTAAATCATTTATCGTTGAAAGATTTGGATCAGTATATGTGATGCTTCCAAGTTGCATCCCATCTAAGCCTTTGCCTGGTCAGGGAATGCTGGGTTTCAGAGCTGAAGAAAATAAATTAGCCACATTCTCAGGCTGTTCTCAGATGCTGCAAGATGGACTATATCTTATGTCAGTTTCAAACATACAATTTTTTCAATCTTTCATATACCCTTTTTCAAGTCTGTCACCACAGGAACACCATGTTATTTCTGTTCCTGATGCAAGTCTTGAATGATTTTTTATTTATTTATTGTGAGAATCTTTTGAAAGCTGCTTTGAGAGCCTCTTAGGACCACAAAGCAGGATATAAATATTCTAAACCAATAAATGTAGGCATATATTGGAAACAAATCATAACTACTTAGGGGTTCTTTATTATATAAGCCTGAATACAGATAGAGATGTGACCATGGGGTGTAGGGAGGAATCCAAGTGAAAAAGATCTTTTTCTGTGTTTGGCACATCAATAAATTTAGCGACCTCTTCAAGCTGCTCTGGTTTTAATGTCAGCATTTTGTAATGACCCAAGATGTAAAAGGCGCACTTTATATGGGAAAGGTATAATGTGCTCTTAAACTGCTAAGTGAATGCGTTTCCCTGGACAATAAAATATTAAGCTGACTGGCAGAGTCTGGTCTTTTATGGAAAAAAAGGTCCTTTTGTTTTTCATCCGCTGACTTTATAATTTTCTATGTTCAGTGAAGCTTTTTACGACTCTCTTCCCAACCAAAATTCCTCTGACAAATTTGGAAGGGCAAATTGCAGCTGCCACCCTCTCTTGGATCTAAGTGGTTACTCAGTCTCCTGGAGGAAATGACAGAAAAGCTTTTAGGCAAATCCAGTACTAAATGTCCCTCAGTTGTGGCAAACCCTATGGAAATTCAGGCCATGCAACGATTTCACATTGTGTGGTGCCTCTGAAATCTGTGTCCTCATTGCTCTCTCACAACCTTGATGTACCTTATGTAGACATCACTATCTATCCCATCACTAACTCCTCGGGTGCCATGAGGGGGCAGTAGGATTACAGGTAGACACTAGCAACTTAAATCCTTGAGAAAACATCTATAGCAACTTCCCCATGGCAGAATGAAGGAAGAAAGCAATACTGAAAATGAATGCCAACTACAATCTGAAGTTTGGAAAGTCTTTTGAAGACAAATGAGTGATATCGAACACTATGAATCTTCAGACAATTGTAGTCAGACAGAGCTTCCTTTCCAGCTGAGCATTTAAACTTCCTTTTTGTACTTACTACACCTTTATATGTATATTTGTGGCTGCTGAGTTTTGTGGGTGGTTTTTTTTCTAGTTTGGCTAACTGAACTGAATCTTTTTGTGAATCTTTTTGTGTAACGTTGTCATTATAGCGTTGCTGGTTGTTCTAGTGGAACAAACTGTTTTGTGTTGAATATTGGATAGGGTATTGACATTGTCCTGTGCTTTTTAAAAGAGTTGTTGATTTATTAATTTTCATAATGAAGTTAATGATTACACTGTTGTTTCCATATCGGAGCCACATTGGGTGTGGGGTAATTGTAGTACACAAATGCAATTCTTGACTTACTTGCAGTTCTGGCAAACGATGACTAGGTGAAAAGATTCCCCCTGTTCCTCAAGACCAATGTTTGGGTTGATGATAGAAGCCACATCCAAGTGTGTCTTGCAAAATCTTGCCTTTGGCTTAAAATAAGCCTCAGGACTTTGTGCACTGATTTCTTAAATTTTACAAGCAGCAGGGGAAGTTGCACAGAGCATGCATTCGAAGCAGTAAAACAAATTATAGGTACTACCCATTTCTTCTTGTTATTTGGATATTTACTTTCTTTTTCTGCCAATTGCTTCTGTCCCATTCATACCAGACCAGGGAAGCTATAGCATACTCACCATACACTGAAAGACAATTTCCTTCCAAAGAATCATGGGAATTGTAGTTTGTTAAGGGTGCTGGGAATTGTAGCTAAGTTGGAGTAGACCACAGTTCCAAGGATTACTGAGTGTGTGCTTTCAATGTATGTGTGTACATAGCCTATGTCTCTCTTCACATCCAAAAACAGCAGGTCCATTGATTAGCTATGCTTATCAGGCACTGAATTAACATTTGTACAGTACAGTGCTATTTTTCTAGAAAAAGAGGTGCCAGAACGCACCATGAACATTCCTCTCATTTTCTTAGAATGGCATGTCAGTATATGAGAACATCGCAGCTGCAGACAGCCAGCTTGTTGACATCACAAGATGCGGCTAGCTGTGGGAAAGAAGATTCCCGGAAGTTCACAGGCTTCTCAGAGCTCTGTGAAGAGTGTAATTTGAAACCTTCTGTTTGCGTATGTACAGGAAGATTTTCAGACTTGCTAGAAGAATTGAATTGATCGGACATGTTTTCTGTAGTGCTGTAAATTCAGAAATAAAAGAATATAAATAGACGTTTCTGACTGTCTCCTTTCCCTGCTAGGGAAGCAGGAGGAGGGTGTGTGCATTTATCCACGCTGGGAAAATGTCGCCTATCAAAATCTCCCTGGTCTGTCCGGGATGTCAGCCAGAGGAGGTTACCGGTAAGCAAGCTCCGAGAGCAGTGAGAGGGGCCAGCCTCTCTGGAGGGGGCTTGTAAACCAACATGGCAATGGCGCCCACCTGAGAGGTGCCGGAACTCTCTGGAATTCAGTTCCAGAGTTCAGTTCAGAAAAAAGACCTGGTACAGTATATTAATCTTCTCAAAGTATAGCCAAATTCACATTTATTACACACATTTATACACTTTATAATATCCAACATTTTTTTTTTTTTATAATTGATATTTATTAAGTTTTCAAAGGGTAACAACGAAAATTTCCAAAAAAAATTGAAAATACAAAAATAACAAAAGTAATACAAAGATATTAAAGAAAAAGAAAAGAAAACCCAGCCGTAAAAAAGAAAAAAAAGAAAAACAGAAAAACAGAAATATGTAGTTCTTTACGATCTCCATTAACTTCTTTTCTAGACTTCCTCCTCCTCCCCTCTCTTGTTTCTTAGTTTTTAATTTTCACAGCAAATCCTTTCTGTCTTTTTTTCCCATATCAATCTATCATTACATTTCCTTATTCTATTTTCCCTCTTGTCATATATAAACTTTAATTCAATATTCAATATTTAGCAAATTCTTACATCATTACCTTTTTACAAATCATTTACCAATCCTTACTTAAGCCATATAATTTCATTCAACACCCTTCAAACATTTATAAACATTCCCAATATTAAAAAATAAAAAAGAAAAAATAATAAGTCAAATTCAGTCCAGTCAGCTTCCAGCCTCCCCTCCCCAGGACCCAAGATTGTCAGTCCTTTTAACCTCAACGATCCAGCTCGTTAACCTGGTTGTCTCGTATCCGAGGCCCTCAAGTCTCTTTCTTGCCCCTTTCGCCGCTCTTGTTGATATTTCCCTTTCAATCGTGGAGACTCCAACAGAAAGATGCTTTTAACTCTTTGCAACAAGTCCATTCCAGACCCATTACCCAAGCCAGAGAGCAGATAATGCCAGTTCCATTTTCCACAGAGCTTGGAGACTTCGACTACTCCAATCTTCTGATGGCCCATCAGATTTGCCCCAAGTTCATTTATCAAGTTCAAAGGCTGATCTTGCCCATCCAATGATCCCTCCATCTCTGAAGCCTCCGTCGCTACAGCAGGTTCATATACTTGTATAGACTTTAACTG